CATCATACGAATGGGCTCTTCATGATTTGTTTTCAGTGGTGGGTATATATTAATTCCAACTTTATGATTTTCTGCATACATATATATATATATATATATATATATATATATATATATATATATATATATATATATATATATATATATATATATATATATATATATATATATATATATATGTATATATATATATGTGTGTGTGTATATATATATATATGTGTGTGTGTATATATATACATATATACGCAAGTAGTAGTATATATAGACACACATACATATATATATGTGTGTGTGTGTGTGTGTGTGTGTGTGTGTGTGTGTGTGTGTGTGTGTGTGTGTGTGTGTGTGTGTGTGTGTGTGCGTGTGTGTGTGTGTGAACCCCCACCTGTATGTCGTAGCATGATGCACAAATGGCTGTACTGGAGCATGGAGTCACACACATATCATTAAAGTTTGTACTGACCCAATGTTTTCACATAAAAAAGTTCATTAAAAATCATTAAAGTACTTGATTTTACTTCCAACAAAGCATTGTTTAAGCTTCAAAAATGAATAAATAAATAAATATAGTTGGCTACTCTGCAACTTATATTGTCTATACACGTTACTCTTGGCTTTGTAAGGCTGTGGAAACTTTAAAATGTATTTCTCAGATTCACTCAAAATATTTAGTTATTGCATACATTGTTCTTCATATAAGAAGTAGAAATTGCATAAAGTTTGGCATCTTATCCACCGTGAGTGAGCTCTGTGTCCAAAACAGACAAGTGGATGTTTCAATTGATCACAGACATTTACTTGACTTATTGACCGAATTATATCACATATTAAGGTACACAGCATAGTCTTTGATATATTTGAGTTACAAAATAATTTTGAAGACATTCCACTGAAGTTAATACCACATCATATAACTCGGACATGTTGGAAATCCCAGCGACTATGATGACTGAATTCAAATTTTTCCCATATAAAGTCAACATATACTTGATGTACTGCTAAAAAGTCACATACACAATTTATGCATCCTTACAATAAAAAAGTTATATCAAGAAGCATATGGGGCAATTCGTAATTAATTAACTATAAATCCTAATCTGAGACTTCATGAAATATATTGCTGGAGTGTATCAAATTATATTAAGGAAGAGGTATACATTTTTATACGAACCGAAAAAAATGTTTCAACAGCTTCCAATAAAGTGCGCACAGAGAGCAGAAATGTTAGTGGTTTTGGAAATGTTACAAAAAAGGCCATAAATATGGGAATTCTCTCTCAACGCTGCCAAACTGTCGTTCTGCACCACCTCTCCCTTGATTCACTTTCCCAATGTCCAGCATTCCCATGCCCTGCTCGGTTGCCATTTCTCCTTCTCCACCCTTATAAGGAACACTATGTACACAAAGGAAATAATTGCGGCACACGCTTTGGATATCCCTGTTTTTTGGGACAGATAGACAAGACTGATACTGACTACGCAAGCGAGATGCAGTTCTTATATACCATACTTTCCTTTTAACTGGAGAATCTTAATCTTTCACTTTCTCTCCCTTTTCTCTTTGCACCTCCCTCACATACGATCCTCATGCCAGTATGTTTAGCTGTCTCTGAACCTTATATACAATGACTACCGAAGATCAGTGTTAGCATTTCTCATATCGTTTATAAAGCCCACTTGAAAATCAAAGTTAGCAGGGTTAACCAATTTGAGATAAATGAGAAGAGACACTTTCCCAGAGAAAAGAGAATAACCCCCTTCCTTTCTCAAACGATAGTAGGTCTTATATTTTGATATCGTCTATGGCTCCTCCTGTGATTGCCTTAGGATATATTCCTGGTCTACTAACAGTAACATAATTTTCTATGTTTTAGGAATGACAAAGGGAATGCAAACATTCATATTGCGTTGGTTAAGATACCAATCTGTCTTGTTTGAGTGAACAGGTCAGATTGACACTTATAGATTAATTAATTGGAAAAATGTGGATGACTCCTTAATAAATGAAAGACCTATGTAAAATAAATGTAAAATAGCTATGGCAAAGTCCCTCCTCAAACACAAAATACTTATCCTGGTTTGTAAAGCAAATAGCAATAGAGCTTGTTTTTTTTTGTAATCTGTTAAAAGAGTGTGGGTGTGTATCTCATAGTGCTGATTACTAAATTAACAGGTAGTGATAAGGTTTGTAGACACAAATAAAATCTAATGCGTGATCGCTCTTCAGGGTGGGAGGGGTGCTTGCCATGTTTATTTATTTTTTTTTTAGGTGTTCGTGATCGTCCTCGGTCACATTCTTAGTAGGAATGTGTTCAAAAATGGTATATTATTGATTTTCGTTAAAATCTAGAATAAGAACAATGCGACGTGAAAACTTACAGTAATATCTAAACTTACAGTTTTAAGGATTCGTAACAAGACGTATTATACAACACAACCCGCTTGTCACAAACCAGAAACTTTTTTAAAAGTATGTAAATGTTATTCTTCATCTATATCATGTTTCTAGTGCCCATATTAAAATAAATAAATAAATAAATAAAACCACAACTTTACATCCCTCACTCTGTGTATTCTCAAAACAACCTAAGAGAGAGTTCGACTTTTCTTTCTTTCTTTGCTGGATTTCTTGGCTATCAACAAGTACCATGTGGCCACGGTTATTAAGCCAATGGATCCTATTTATTATATCAATCTATATAAGGTCATAAAGTTTTGTCTCCCCTTGAAAAGTGATTACTTTACTTAATATTCCATCATTGTTTGATAAAAGATTTGATGTAAAATCTGAAATAGTTTATTAGATGTTGCCGTTGTTTATTATAATGCTGACATGCTGTTAAGACGTGGTCTATTGTTAGGCAGGAATTGCATATCCGGCATTGTGGAGGGTAGTTCTTTTCTATACAGTGAGTGAGGTGTTTCAATCTTGTTGCATTAACCCTAAGGCAGGTCACCACCACCTCCTCCCTTCTTTCTTTCTTGTGGGATCTGTCCCACTTTTGTATTATTGTTTTATGTTTAGGTTGGTCCACTCACTTTGCCACAGGAGATATATTTTTGCTTTTATAAGAGGCAAAAAACACCTGAGATCTATGCTAAGGTCCAGATCACCAGTTGACCCGGCTAAAATGTCAGCCTCCATTGCCATGGATACCAAAGTGGCCTGGTACCCATATTAGCTTGATAGATTTGTTGGCACCATTACAAATGATATTACCCAGCAGTCTGAACTTTTATTCACATCCAGTCGACCATACACCTGCACCCACACACTCATCTATCTTGGAGCCGTCGGTATATATTTGAAAAAAGGGAGATGTTTAATAAGGATCTCTCTGAACCTCTGGCGTACCTACGCCTCCGGCGCCATGGTCTTAACTGATGGAAGCCAGGCTTCCATGATGGAACAGTTGGGGGTTTCCCATGGCCATATGTTTGACTGAACCAGGGTATCGATGATTTCGATGCCGAGCCATACTCGATTGACCCATAACCTACTTCAAACCTAACCAGGGCTTTATATATCATTTGCAAAGACTCTATCAGCTCCCATTTATTACCAGAAATGTACTTTGATGAATCTAGTGTTCTTTGACATTTATTCTTTAACTGACCAATCCACTGGTCTTTCCAATTACGTCTACGATGAAAGAGTAGGCCAAGAAATCCAGCAGATTTTTTTGCATAGGTATTGGGTGATTGTCTTGAGTTAGTATGATGTCCAGCTTCCTCTTTTGTGAAAAAATACCCCAATACTCTTTCTTGTGGAAAACTTAAAACCCCATCATAATCATATCCAGTGCCAGTTGGATGCGATTTGCCGAGAATTCCGCTGGTATACCATAATGCACAATCATCAGTATACAGTGAGTATTTTAGATTCCAAGGAGGAGATGGTGAGATGTCATTTATCATACATAGAAATAATATTGGTGGCAAGACACTTCCTTGTAAGACACCATTTTCACATTTTTTTCACATAATCCTAAAGCATAAAGTTTTCTGAGTTGGTAATGTCGTCATGTCATGTCGTAGGCTTTTTCTTTATCTAAAAATACTGAAATAAAAAAATCTCTTTTAGCAATTGTGTCTGTCTAGTTTTACTAGTTGATCGAGAGTTTGGCGTCCATTTCGGAAGCCGCACTGCTTGTCAACTAATAAATTATTGGAATTTTAAAAATGCAATAGCCTACTATTAACAATTCATTCCATGGCTTTGCATAAGCAACTTGTTAATGCAATGGATGGTAGGAGATGGCGGATCTGGGATTTCCCTTCTTTTCGATATGGGAATGATGAGTTTGGAAAAGTGTGACTTTTCCAAATTTCATTGTACATTTTTAGCAAGCTAATCATGAATAGGTTACAGCTCGGCCGCTTCCTTGGTGGTCAGGAATGCAGGATGGTAATTTGCTTGTATGAGAGAACTGCCTAGCGAGTGTATTAGTAATGTCTCTAGGTGAATCGAAATTAGTACTCTCATGAATGATGTTTTTAATTTTGAAAGATTTTTTTTTATTTCATCAACAGTGGACCAAACCTGGAGAGTCTTCTTGCTTGTCTTATTATTCTATGAGCCCTAACTTTTGCTTGTTTATCATTATAAAAGTTCACGTTACTGATGTTATTTTTGAAAAGCCTGTAGGCCCTATTGCGTTGGCACAGCGCCCTAAGGCAATCTGGGGCGGGATACTCAAAACAGTTTACAATGTTGTATCTCACATCGGAGCAGTTACAATGTTGTAACTCCTCCGAGGACCATACTCGAAACAAAAGTAGCCGCCATGTTATGACGTCACTCATTGTAAAGTACCTTGTAAGTTACAACTGCTCGGGAGCTCTTGTAAGGGTTTCAAACCGGATATATTACGGTTTATTTCCCGATTACTTAGTCGACAAAAACCTTTATTTGACAGTAGCATGCTTTTTCCATATTTAATACCGGGGAATTTCAATTGTCTAGCATACTCTCTGTTTTCTATGCATTATCGTTATTTTGAATCAAATATAAATTGGCTGTAAATTGAGTTGACAGACGACAGACGACACACAACAATGATTTGGTGG